TTTTATTATTAAGTATTAACCACACCCACGACTTTTACCCACACCCACACCCACACCCACACCCACGACCCACGACCCACGACTTGTACCCACGACCCACGACCCACGACCATTAGTCAAACTCGGGGGAGGCACAACCCTTTTTATACTTTTGTCGGTAGTTTCCAAGGTAGTTTCCAAACTGATTAGCCAATCAAAAAGGGTTTTGAGTGAGTTCCAAAACAATGAAAACGTTTCCAGTCAATCGTGAGGGGTTTTGAGTGTGTTCCGACTTGCTACAATAACGACTTAGACCCACCCATTGAGTACAAGTTGGCACCAAGATATTTTCCGACGGTATCCGACGGTTTCCGAAGTGAGATCAAACTTTAAATCCCCAGAGCGTAATCGGGGACGCCGCCTGACTGCACAAATAACGAGATTAGGCATTTCAAACATATTTTCTTTAATAAATAACTGAAATACAGGAAGTTGGTTTATTTCTAGAAGGAAATGAGTGATTTCCAGAAACGGATCAGTAATTTCTAAAGGGAGATCAGAGTGTTTTTGAAAAATTTGAGTGAGTTCCGGAACTCACGTAAACTACTCTGGATCCAACCCTGACCAACCTATCTTGCTCTTTGGAGCTAATTACTAGGCAAGAAAGAATCGTACTTTCGCTGCCTTCGGGCTTTTTGCGCTAGCTTTTCTGGAGGAAGTGTCAGCTTATAGATCACGTATTTCCTGTTGTAATTTTACTCAGACGTTAAATGCGTCTTCCACAATGTGACAGTCAAATGAAAAAAACAAAAAAAAAAAAAGGAATACGCAAAATTTTGGCAATTTTGAAGCTGGGGTCGCACTTATCCTCCGCTACCTGTTGACAGATTTAAAAATTGCCAACCGGCCTTAGCATTCACCGTCTATTACAAAACTGAGATGCATGTTGCAAGTGATTGAAGATCAAGTGACCTGTCTACCTGTGTTGTTTTTGTTTGCCGCCCCTCTTTGCCTTCTTTACAGTTCTATTTACATCGTGAAACAATTTCTCAGTTGTTATGTTTGGTTTTTACCTAAAGGCCTCACAATGGTCGCGACAAGCAACTGCTCTGCTGCTGTCATAATGTGACTCGACGAACAAAAGAGAGGCATGAGTTCATTTTAATATATTACATGAATTTACAAAGGACAGAAACACGAACCTCAGAAATAACCTTTGGGCTCCCTATCTGTATTCAAGCGATACTAATGCTAACCAAAGCCTCAAGGCGCACGCATGAAAGAAAGCAACAAATATCTTACCAACTAGCTTTAGTTCTTTCTGAAACCTCCCCTTCACTAAAAGAGATACTTTTTCTTTTTTCGAGACACCTTAACCATACCTTGTTTGCCAGAGTACTGTTTCGATCTAGAACCCAGCACGGCTGGCGTGCAAAGGAAAGAGATGAGCAGGAAATAATCAGTACGATCGCGACGCACAAACGTCGGGATCTCAACGTTTGCGCGTGGAGCTCGCATTTGAATATCTCTACTTTCTTTATTCCCTTTAAGCCGGCCTTGAAGGTCCGCGTAGGTTACACAAGAATTGCAAATATTCATTCGAATCACATCATGATTCAATCCATTAAAATGCCTCAAGGCTCGAAAATATTACAAGATATGACTCTAAAGATCTAAGTGAAGTTCGGTTGCATTTTGATCACTCTTAACGTCTGGGAAAAAGAAACACCCGAGCGTAAATTATTGCCACTAGAAGCGAGGGGCAACGGAATTATACGCGAAGAAAAAAAGATCCGCCTAAAATACTTTTAGTTATTGACGAGCGAAGGTTTCTTCTGTCCATGTGGAACTGATAATTATATCAAAAACTGAAAATATACGATCAAACACTCAACGCGCCCTGCATGCTTGCTCGCAGCGAGTAGCCATCCATAAGTTAATTTTTTTCAGGCTCGAGTGACTCACCTTGTCTTTTTCAGAGACAGTCGCAAATTAAATACAGTTAAGTAGAGTCACTCACCCTTCGGTTCCTGACATGTTCTGATACTCTGCAACGTCCAAGGAAGGCGAAGGACAGAATCACTGTAAACAAAAAATTACATTACTCTTTTCACCAAATGTGCTAATCTGCAACGAAATAATTTAGATATATCAACAAAGTTGAAATGGTAAATTGGCCACCGTAACGATTACAAAAGCTGACGCTTCGAGCGTTAGTTCTTCGAGCGTTAGCCCTTCGTCGGATCTGCAACGAGGCTTGTAAGTGTTATTTCTGCCTTGAAATGTCATTAGATGTCGAAATTTTTAGTTCACTCACCAAAAGCCAAGCAAAAGAGCCTCAGATAATCCATTGCAGCTTTAGTGCGGGCTGGGTCTGGAAAGAAAAAGAGACGACGCGTTAGGTAATCCGTATGAAATTTAAGTCCCCTTGAAATTAGATACTTTGTGTATTTTTCTTCTAGTGGCAAATACAGTTAAGTAGAGTCACTCACCCTTCGGTTCCTGACATGTTCTGATACTCTGCAACGTCCAAGGAAGGTGAAGGACAGAATCACTCTAAGCAAAAAATTACATTACACTCTTTTCACTAAATGTGCTAATCTGCAACGAGGCCTGTAAGTATTATTTCTGCCTTGAAAAGTCATTAGATGTCGAAACTTTTAGTTCACTCACCAAAAGCCAAGCAAAAGAGCCTCAGATGATCCATTGCAGCTTTAGTGCGGGCTGGGTCTGGAAAGAAAAAGCGACGACGCGTAGGGTAATCCGTATGAAATTTAAGAGTCTGTCACGAGAGGACCACGAAGGCGTGCCACATGTCATCTCACCGATTTCTCTCAAACTTTCACAGATGATTAAGATCATAAAGTTATTCAAGAGTCCAAAGTAGTTTGGGCTCCCGGTTAATCCCTGGGGTACAAGGGCTTTCACATCAAATCCCAGGGATAAAACCCCGAA